TGGGAATTGAACCTTAAACCTGCCACTTGAGGGTTGACAACCTATAAAATATAACTTATTAAAGTTTTTAATTTATATTAATCCTTTTAGAATTATTTTATTTTTAATAAAAAATTTACTAAAGTTTAATATGTTTTATATATAGTTAATCTAGTTTTATATAATATACTATAATCTGACTAATATTTGCAATTATAATTATTTGTTAAATCACTACTATTATATTTGTAAAAATTACTAAAACTCTAATATCTATTTTTTTAATATTTGGAGATAATCATAGCAAAAGGTGACAATATGTAAAAAATTTTGATTCTGTAATTTTATAAAAATTATATACCTATTACTCTAATTCTTTAAGAAATTGTATTTGTAAGAAAAAAATTTTTTTGACATATTGTCACCTTTTGTTACAAAGGTTTCTATTTTCTTTATTATCTTCTACTAATTGTTACTTAAAACTAACAAACTTTTATTAAACTACCAACTTAAATAGTTTGATATAATATACTTTAGTATTTGTTTTTTTAATAAATTTGATAATCTAATTGGTTATATATTTTTTTATATTTATATATTTGTTATTTAGTTTATTTTATTTGTTTTTTAAAAATAGTTTATAAACTTTAATCAGTTTGATAGTACTATTAAAAATTTATATTATCTTTTTATTTAGGAAGTTTTAAGTAAGTTTTTGTCTTTTTAGTTCTTTAGTCTTTTATATTTGATGATTTTATTACAGGTTTGCATTGAAATCTTATGCAATACCAGTAAGTATTCTTCTATATATATGTAATTTACATCTCATATAAATGTTCTAAGCTTTCAAATCACTAAATTTAATATATTTAGGTTACAATTACATAAGGTTAACTGATTGACAGAAAACAGTTATTGTAATACAGATATAATTTCTAAATTTTATTATAAATAGAATTTGAACATTAGACCTGTTACTTGGAAAAGAACAATCCAACTACTATACTAGATTTACATTCTTCTAAGCAGAATTTTGTTTGTTTGTTTATATAACTAACTATATAAATAATTAAATAATTTGTATATATATACTAAAGACCTAAATAAAACTTTATTTGTTTGTTTACTTACATAATCAATTATATAATAATTTTAATTTACTTCAAATTTACAACAATATCTGTTTTTATAGTTTAAAGTTTTTATTAATAAAAAATAAATGTCTTATACTGTTCAGTATTGTATAATAGTTTTACTAGTTTTATTAGCACTATCAATTTTACCAATATGTATTACTATTTTATTAATTTTACCAATATTATATACTAGTTTATTAACTTTTACTAATTTTACTGGTTTTACCAATACTACCAGTTTTACTAATGTTATTATTTTACTATTTCATTAGTTTTACCAATCTGATTATTAAATTACACTATAAAGCATCAGTTTCACCAGTTTTAACTGGTGAAACTGTCATACTTCGTAGATTCTCTATTTTATTGCTTAGCAAAAATACAAAGTACTTTATATGTAAATAGACTTTTAGCTTTTAAAAGAGGATGCTTTTGATAATTAGGTTAGTAAAGTGTTACTGTTATTATTTTTTTCGTGTTATAATATGGTTTACTATAAGTAAGCTATATATATGAAAAGCTTTTTTATTTAAAGAAATTTTTTTTTTTCTAAAAAATTATTCTGAATTGAAAAAAATTTGGATAACTATATATTAAAGATTAAAGTTTTATTATAGTACGTAATTTGTACTTGAATTATTAAATTTTTAAAAAATCCTAAGTCCACTTAAATTCCGCTCCCACTTTACAACAAATATATAGTTTAAAAGTTAAGAATTAGAGTTGGATAAGATTTTAATTATATGATAACTTAGTTAACGTTAAGGGAGATAAAGCATTTATGGCAACTTGTGAATCACGGTAACTAATGACAAACTTATGGTCAAATCGGTAAGGTTACCGATATCTCTAACGTCTGTAACTCTGATAATACAGTAATATGTACCTGATACATACATACATGCGAATCATTTAAAGCTATAGTCACGTGAAACAGTAGAATTTAAATTCTGTTATACGATGTTTACAGTTCATTGCAATTTTTGTCGTTATTTATCTATAAAAAGTTATAATAAACCCGAATCGTAACCAGGAGGATAATCAATTCCCAAAACGAGAGTGACCCGGGTATATATTCAGAATGAAAAATTTTTAGTTAGGTATAATTGAATTATAATATATCGACATATATATATTTATATTATTTATTTATTACTGTAATTCTCGATACTTGGCCTAAATCAATTCGTTTAGGCGATGGTTAGGACCAGAGTGACATCCGGAACAGCATACAGTTATACACTATTGGTGAGAGATAAAAAAAATATATTAGTGACGTGTAACTTTCTTACGGGTTTTTGCAGAGGCTGTTTATTAGTTGTCTAAAAATAGTATAATCGTTTTCAGAAGCCTTAAAATGATTTATTAACTCCCACGCCAATTGAAAACCGTTCAAAAATGTAATGTTGGCGGTTTTTCATCAGGTGATTGTTCGGAAAATTGGATTTTTTTATTAATTTAATGTTGTCCAAAATTGTTGACTTTCTTTTCATCAATAAAGATGGTTAGATGGATTTTTTTATTGTTTCATAGTGTAACAAGTGTCAACTTAAAATTTTCTAATAGCTAAAGAATGTATTCAAAGAAGGATATTCATCTTACGCATATCTTTTTAAGTATCGGAAATTTTCGTGAACGAATTCAATTAGTGACCGGGTGGAACAATCAAAGATAACATTCTATATAGCTTTGAATCATGCACAAACCTAAATTTATTTTTTAGTTTATACTATCGCTATAAAACGTTTAGGCTATCAACAACTTGTAAACACAAATTTGAAATTTAATATATGAAAAATTAATCCTTAAATATCCTTAAAATCAGAATTATATTAAAGTTATTAGTCCTTCTTTCCTTTTTTCTTGTAAGCTTTTTGATAAAATCTAATAAATAACACTAGAAAGCTTCCGTTACAAAGTATTGAAAATACAAATGCTGAAATCCCATACTTGCAACTTTTTGTAAAATGATAATAAAGATATGGCACCGATAATATAAATGATATTGAAAATTGAATGATTTGTCCGGTTGTGATGTATTGCTAATTGTCGATGTAAGGAATGTGATAATTTAGAAGATTTGTTTAGAATATCAAAAATGTTTATACGCAATATATATCTATTTTTTTTACGTACCTTGAACCATGTGGATCTTCCTAATACCGCGACAAAGTAATAATAATACATGAATACATGTACGAACGTGTTTGCAATCATCCCAAGACTTTGGAGTTTATAAAGAATATTAACGAACAATTTAAAATATTAACACTTTTAATTATATATTATATATGTATATGTATATATATTTACTTACCTAGCATACATATTTGCATCTTGTAGCCATGTCCAAACCATTAGGATCACAATAGAATGATGGTACCAATGCAGAAAAATTATCTCTTTCTACAAGAAACATATTTCAATGAAGTAATGATTGAATATTAATTACTATCGAAATTTTTTTAAACCTACCTTCTTAAGTACTAATATCACGGTATCGATCAATTCAGTAAATTTCGATAGGTAATAGATGTATGTAACATAAAATAATCTACCCTTCAAAGATGAATCGTCTGAAGTACAAAAACATTCACCGATACCTCGTTCCTAATAATTAATTCATTAGTGACGAACACATAAAACAATGAAATGCTACATATCGTTTACATATACAAACCTGCCATCTTTTAAAAAAGTCAATTATGGCGTATCCGAACATGATCGCGGACAATATGCATAGAAATAAATTATGTACAGCAATAACACCTTTTAAAGTGAAAGGTGTTCGAGATTTCATAAATCTCTGATAATTTTTGTTAATGTTACGTCGTTGTGTCAAATTTTGTGATCATTAAATATTCGATAAAAATACCTTTAATCCAACTATCACTACAAAGTATGTTATCCAAGAACCAATGACAATCTAAATTTAGTATTGATACATATAAATTAAATTTGATTTATTTTGATTTATTTTGATTTATTAATTATCTTTAACACACCTGTAAATTAGAGAACGGTGTGATTCCAACTTTCCACTGAAAATCATTTGGATTCATTAATTGTGAATAATCCCATTTTGAGTGATCGAATGGAATTGATAGAACTTCTATGCCTTTTGAAACGTTGGAATTATTAAACATAATGAAAATGGTTGATGAATTATTAAACTGCGATTTTACGAATTATTTATAGTATTAGGTTCGTGTGACATTTTGCTGTGTCAAATTAGATCTGCAGTAAATGGTAAATTGTAAATATGGTAATGTAGTAAATGTACAGTAAAATTGCTTTTTTATTTCAGTAATACGGAACTTTTCGGCGGTGCAGTTATTAAATGACTCAGTCCTCCGAGAGTGCCAGTAAAAATATTTATTAACTCGCCGAAATATTCCGCAATGCATGATTTACGATAATATATATAGTTGTGGTCCCCAGGGCTTTAACATTTTGGTTTTTTTTTTATGATTATTTCTCACACAAAGCATCAATGAATTCATTACACCGTTTTGTACATAAACCTCATCTGTTAACTAATATAGTTTTAAAAAAGTTCTCAAATAATGTTTTGAAAACTCGGTTATCTTATAATTCTCAATTTAATCGTTCAATTCAGAGAAAGAATTATTCCACTAATAATGCAAAAGTGCACACCAGAGTTGAAGAAGAACTTCACGAAAAAGCTCATATCGATTATGATCGTGTAGCTATTAAATGGAATCCTTCGATCGCTAAATTGTATGAAGATGCTTTGAAATACGAAGATGGATCCGCTATCGCTTCCTCTGGTGCTTTGGTAACTGCTTCCGGTATTAAAACTGGTCGTTCTCCAAAGGACAAACGTATCGTTGACGAACCTGGTTCTTCTAATGATATTTGGGTAAGGGGTTTTTTTAAAAAAAATATAAATATGTATATATTTTTAATCATCATCTCCTTTACTAAATTTGGCGCGTTTTTACTTGTCAATCATTTACCTTATAAGTGGGGACCTGTCAACACGAAATTGCCCGAAAATGTTTTTCTCATTAATCGTGAACGTGCTGTAGATTATTTAAATACTCGTAAGAGGATCTACGTCTTTGATGGTTTTGCGGGGTGGGATCCCAAATATCGAATTAAAGTTCGTGTGGTTTCCGCACGTGCTTATCACGCATTGTTCATGCGAAATATGTTGATTCGTCCTACAATCGAGGAACTTGAAACCTACGGTTCTCCCGATTTTACCATTTATAATGCCGGTGCTTTTCCCGCAAATCGTTACACCACCGGTATGACGTCTACAACTTCTGTTGCACTTAATTTCCATACACACGAAATGGTTATCTTGGGTACCGAATATGCTGGTGAAATGAAAAAAGGAGTGTATGTATTTTATTATAACTTAATTATTTTTTTTATTATAATTATTAATTATCACTAGTAATCATTATTAATTATCATTATTAATTATTTCTAATTTCAATACACATAGTTTTACCGTAATGCATTATATAATGCCTGTGAAACATAATGTTTTATCATTGCATTCTTCAGCGAATGAAGGTCATAAAGGAGATGTTTCTATTTTCTTTGGTTTATCCGGTACAGGCAAGACTACACTTTCTGCTGATCCAAAGCGTCTCTTGATCGGTGATGATGAACATTGTTGGTCAGATGATGGTATCTTTAACATCGAAGGCGGCTGTTACGCAAAATGTATTGGCTTATCTCCTGATAAGGAACCAGAAATTTTTGACGCTATTCGGTTTGGATCTGTTCTGGAAAATGTCGTTTATGATCGTCATACTCGTATTGTAAATTATGATGACAGTACATTGACTGAAAATACTCGTTGTGCTTATCCGATTGAATACATTCCCAATGCCAAACTACCTTGTATTTCTTCGGGTCATCCAAAAAATATTATCTTATTGACATGCGATGCATATGGGGTTCTTCCACCTGTCTCAAAATTATCACCATCTCAAGCCATGTATCACTTTATTTCTGGTTATACGGCCAAGATTGCAGGAACAGAAGAAGGTGTCACCCAACCCGAGGCTACATTCTCTGCTTGTTTTGGACAACCTTTCCTTGTACTTCATCCTGCACGTTATGCAAAGATGTTGGCTGAAAAAATGAGGCAACATTCTGCTGATGCTTGGTTGATTAATACGGGATGGAATGGTGGTGCTTATGGAGTTGGTGAACGTATCAAGCTTAAATACTCCCGTGCCATCATTGATGCGATTCACTCCGGTGAACTTTCCAAAGCTGAATATGAATCCTATGATGTATTTAATTTACAAATTCCAAAATCATGTACGGGTGTTCCATCTGATTTATTAAATCCTTCAAGGACTTGGAAAGGCAGTGAAGATGAATTTAAGCATACTCGAAATACTTTAGCTGAGAGGTTCATCAAAAACTTTAAGGATTACGAAGATCAAGCTACAGCCGAAATTATTTCGGCTGGACCCATCATCTCGTAGGTTTCGTTTGTAAGAAAAAAAATAATAGTAATAAAAAAAAAAAAATACCGATAAAATAAAATAAATTAGACGTATTATCAGAAAGATGCGACGATAATTACGATATAAAAAAATTAATATATTAATTTAACTAATCACAATTTTAAAAGATTTTAGAGCTTTGAATAAAAACAAAAACAAAATGTTTAAATTGTTTTCAATTTTTTTTTTCATTCGATTTTTTTAAACTCGCTTTTTCATTCTTGTACTTTTTGTATAATTAACAGAGAAAGTATCTAAAAATTAAAATGTATAAACGAATAAAAACTATTATAGAGTTATATAAAATTATTCCTTGATTGTTTCTACTAGCTTTGGCGAAACGCAATTATGAGCTTTTTATTCCATCTTGTTTTCTACGAATACAAATTGGACAATGAATTATACGGCCTTCAAAATAATCCGGCTATTACTGGCCTGAAAAAAACTGTTTCTGTTATTACTTACTATATTATCGTTCCACAAAACAATTCACAAACAAAAAAAAGGTTCTCATATACAGTCATTTGTGTTAATAATGGAAATGACAAACGGTATATTAGGTAAGGTGAAGTTGGCGCGAGAAATTTCTATTTGTATAACATAGATTAGGTATACCCTATATATAGAATAGATATCAAAATATACAATTATTTTAAAATTAGGAAAACTGTTTTCGAACTTTACTTATTGATAGAATCAATTGTAAAACAATGTATGACTTTTGATATTTGAGATTAAAAATAATCTAAGAAAAACAAATGAGACTCAAAATATGATGAACACCTAGGTGTTAATGCAATTCATCATAAAATTGCTATTATTGAAACCAAATGTATTAAAGAATATATGAATAATGCGAAAGACTAAAAAAAAAATTTATATTTCATTAAAATAGGATAATAAAACCTTTATTATTATATATATAATACAGGGTATAGGCAAATACTTGAAAAAAGAATCACTATAAAATTCTTATCTAATTATTTGTAGATAATGAACAAATAAAACCAGAATAGAATTTATTTCTTTACACACGTCGCACTTTCTAAATCTGCTGTCTGACATTCATCAGTAGTATGAACAACCAAATATTCGTATTTCTTTTCTTTCTTTCCCCTTATCATACTAAGAATAACAGGAATGACGGCCACAAAAGCAGCTACAGCTATAAAAATCACAAACAATGGACCAAACAGATAATCTGAAATGGATTGTTTGAAGAGTGAACTGTTTTCATCATCATTGTCATCATCATTGTCATCATCATCACTTTTGGATGAATATGAGTTTTGAAGAGTTTCTGGAGAAGTCACCAAGTTTTCGTCGGGTTCGCAACCTAAGAATGAAAAATCCATCAAAGGATCATATTGTTGATCTTGAATATATTCATCATCTAGAGTTATCTTCGATGTGTCATCTATTTCAGGAAATTCAACTTCGTTGCTTGGTAAATCAGGTGACTCTACGATGGTAATTTCAATGGTAGTAACAGATGAATCCTCATCTAAGTTATTAAAATTTAAAGAATCTAACATCGCCTCAGTAGCTTCAATTGACATATCTACAAGTTCATCTATCGCTTGGAAAGGGTTTGAATGGATATCCTGTTTTGAAGTCATAAATTCATCGAATGGAGAAGAAATATGATTATCAAATAACCATGGATCTCGAGTAGAGAGATCGTCTATTTGGTTGTTTTCAAGTTGGCATTTCACATTGGAAAAGAGTAGTGCCAGGGTCGTGAGCAGCAAAAGTACGAATTTAGTCATTTTTGAAGAATTTTAACGTTCATAAATATGAAGAACGAGAATGGATTATTAAATAATTTATATTATTCTTATGCTGCATAATAATGTAATGTATCAATCAAAAAAAATCATTTTGATAATTGATATCATATACAAAATAAATCTATCGATTCTTTGAATTTTGCATTTGATCATATAATCGATCAAGATTTTATGCAAAATTTCTTGGCATTTCACTTACGTATGTAAAAGGATGGCAGATTAGAAAATGTAATGCATTACTTAAAAATGTTTAATGAGCTTCCGACTAGTAGTATTCAGGTGGTACTGTATGTCAACAATGACTTTTGCATTTCTAATAAAAGAATTTGGATTAATTGTAGACTTGGATAGGTAATACATCACAATTGCTTACAAAAGATAAAGGTTTTCGAAATTTTTGATTTCATTTATAACTTAGGATTCGAAATTCCTATCGTTATAACGATAAAGATAATGAGATAAATTAAGTTATATGCAATAAATTAATCCTATCGCTATAACTTATAATAATCAATACATCCTGATTATATATTATATCAAGATGTCAATTTAACCAGATGTTTTTATATATTTATTCAGAATTTAGTTACATATACCTTTATTGTATGAGCGTAAACTCCGATATTAAGTCTCATTGACAGTATTCTTATTGCCAAAGACATAAATAGCAATAACAATTACTATTACTGAATTACTGAATTGCTAAGTTAACGCCTACAATTAAACTTATGCATTCCTTATTAAACCTCACATTTCTGATCATGTTTAATAAAAAGTGTACAAGTTCTGCAAAAACCTATTAAGATTTTAGAGTTAAGAACCGAAGAAGGATGTTTCTTGTCACATTGATGTCTCTGTCCATCTTTATTTGACACTGAGGACATTTAAAAGTTCTAGTTTTTTTGTAAAGATATCCACAATTTTCACAAGTATTTGAAGTATAATGTTCATCACAAATTAAAACTTTACACCAACAGTATTCCTTTGTCTTGTTAATTAACTGTTGCTTAAAATGACAATGAGATCATCTGAACATTGCTCTTGCAGTTTACTTCTTATTCGTCTGTTGATTCTTCTTACCATTCTCTGTGTCTCAAATTCAGAAAGTAATAAGATTTTGAATCTTTTTTTTAATTCTTCTTACTGATTTCTTTAACTTGTAATGTTTTTATATTGAACTTCTTTTGTGATTACTTACTCTGTAATTTGTTAAGAATATGACAAAGGTGGTAAATTCTTTCAATATATTCTTTTTTTATTTTATTGCAAATCCAGAAAGAGAATAACCAGTTAAAAATATTAAAATCTCTAAATCTAATGAAAGTATTTATTTTTTAATTCTTGTCTATTGAGAAGTTTGGTTTTTATCTTAATTTTGAATAACAAAGAAAAAAATTTTTCAATTGTTTTCTATAAATAATAACCATAATTTAATTTATTAAACAATAGTTCCATTCTTTAAATAAGTTCCAAGTCAAATACTTTTAAATAAAAAATATCAGTTTTTTTTATAATTAGAACAAATAATAATTGATTTAGATTTGTTCTTTTTGTTTTGGTATTTAATCTTAAATTCTTTTTTATAAGATGCAAAGTTAATCTTATATTCATTTCTTCATCTTGAATATTATAAGTAGTTTTCAAAACTTATTTATTTTTATTTAAAATTTTTTATTATTTATATACTTAATCTTTAGAATTTTTTTGTTTTAAAGAATTTTACTTTTTTTTTAAGATGTGATAACTTAGTGAAATAAATAAGTTGTTAACCTTTCAAGTAGCAACCTTTCAAGTAGCAAGTTGTAAGTTTAAAACCCATTAGAAGTAAAAGTTTAAAAAATATACTTATGTTATAACAACAGTTTTCTATTAATTAGTTAGAATAAAAACTTGTAACTATGATCATATTAGTATAACTGACAGATCATAAAAAATTTGTGTAATTTTGATTATACAGAAGAATGTAAACTAGTACTAAATAGTACAAACTCAAGCTAAATTCTTGTGGTTATGTAAATCTATAAAACTGTAAAAACAGAAGTTTATTTTAAAAAAACTTGACTAGAAAGGTAATATAAATCTTTGATAGTACTATTGCAAAGATTAGATCTAGAAAACAAATACTAATATAAAAGAATTAGATAAATAAAAATATTTAAATATAAGATATAATTGATCAGTCTGTTAAATTATACTAGAAAAAAAGAATATTGTAATAGAATTTACTTTTTTTTCCTATATTAGTATATATTTATTTTTAGCTCTATATTATATTTTATAATTTTCCTAATATTTTTACATAG